GTAGTTAAAACATTGGGCTCTACTCCGTCCATCATTGCGTGCCTGTTCGAGATCCCTGGTGTCAACAGATGGTGGCGCTTGAGTGTCTCCGCACCTCCACAGACAGAAATGTATAAACTAGGCTTAAGTACTTAGTCCTTCTTTACTTCCACTTCCTGTAACATCACTGTTCCAATAGTGTCCCTCTCATTTGTATATGTTTTTTGTCTGGCTGTGTCAAATCATTCCTCTCTTCTCCACCTCTATAGCCACCACCCTACCAGCACCCTGACATCAGAGTCTATAGAGACTTCTGTTTCACATCATCTATCAACCTGTCCTTTACCAAAGCAAACAAGGAGGTAAGAGCCGATCCTTGATGCACTCCCGCCTCCATTTTGAATTCCTCTGTCACTCCTGCAGCACTGCAATCTCACAATGTAGTGGCTACTTAACTATAAACAAACAATTTAATAACGACGAGTTCCAAAAAAGATGCCCGTGTTAGTTTAGTCTTTAGTTTTTGCATTACCAGGTGTTGTGTGCCTCTAATCCAGCAAGCATTACACACACACGTAAGTAGGAACAGAGGACCGGAGATAACTCCCGCTTTATTTCTCTCTTCTTCACTTCTCTTTTTTTTACCACAACAACCACAACGTACTTACTAGCGCCCTCTAGCGCTTCTAGTAAATGCATCTACAGAACACATGCAACAGTATGTGGACACAACATCTTCCCCTTTTGAACAAGGATTGCTTATGTGAACTAAGCCTCATCATTCTGATGTAGGTCACCTAATACACGTTAACATTTCACATTACTCAGTACACTCACTTCCCCATAACAAAGTCCTGGGTCCAGCAAGGTGGCTTTCTCATCCTGATGGGCCTAAGCCTACTATCAGACTCAGAGTTAGATGCCAGATCAGTTCCTGGTTTATGACAGTCCATTTTTGTGTCAGCATCAGTACCTGTGTTCAGCCCTGACAGAGCCGATAAGTGTGAGGCGTTCCAGGTCCGTCCATCATCCAGCAGATAAGTATTTGGTCCTTTCCTGGTCACGACAGTCTTTGGTTTAGAAAACTTTAACTCTCCTTTCTTTACCTTCCATGGCTTCCTAACCCGTACCTTGTCACCAGCCTGAAAGTTGGATGATTTTGCGCGTCTGCGAGCATCAGTGTATTCCTTCATTTTCAATTGCTTATCTTTAACTCTTTCGCACATGGTCTGCCTCTCTGTCTGAGGAACAGGCATATCTATTACCTGTAACTTTGTTCTCATTCGGCATCCATGGAGCAGTTCTGAAGGGGAGACTCCAGTTGTAGAATGAGGGGTTGCTCTGTAGTCCATCAGGTAAGTTCTCAGGAACGATTTCCAGGGTTGACCTTGAATCGAGGCAGTCTGTAGGCAGTCTTTAACGCACCTATTGAATCTCTCCACTTCCCCATTAGCTCTTGGGTAATACACTGAGGACCTCAGGTGTTGGATCCCCCTGCTTTTGAGGAAGTCAGCGAACTCAGCAGAGATGAATTGAGAGCCATTGTCACTTATCAATGTCTTTGGATTCCCTTCACGAGAGAAAACTACGGAAAGGAACTGAATGACAGTACCTGCATCAGCTCGGGGAGCAAAAGCTACTTCAGGCCACTTACTAAAATAGTCTACCAATGTAATGGCAAATCTACAGTCAGAAGGGGCTATTTCAAAAGGGCCTATGATGTCCACAGACACCTTTTCCCAAGCAGCAGCCGGTAAAGGAATGGGTTGAAGTGGAGCATCATGGGTGACGGCGGACTTGTCGTTCTGTCGGCACGTTGCACAATTCTTTATCAGTGTCTCTATGTGACAATCCATTTTGGGCCACCAGTACAATTCCCTCAGGCGTTGTTTAGTACGTACAATACCTTGGTGAGATTCATGAGCTATGTCAGTGAGTTTTTTCTGCAACGACTCAGGCACCAGCAATCGATGTGTACCTCTGACAATGCACTCGTTAAGGACCGCGAGTTCATGGCGGATTGGGAAGTAAGACTGTAAGTCAGGTTCCAGTGATGTCTTTCTAGCAGGCCAGCCCTTCTGTATCTGCACCCGGAGCTTTGTGAACACTGGGCAAGTTTTGCACTCTGACTGGAAGTCTTCCCCAGACACAGCGCTCAGATCAGTGAGGATGGCTGCAACTGACTCCACACTCTCTGCACATGCCATGTCCGTCTCGGGAAGTGGAAGCCTAGAAAGACAGTCAGCAACATGGTTCAATGATCCAGTTCTATATTCCACTTCATAGTCAAACTCCAACAGGCGAGCTGACCATCTGGCTATGCGTAGACCTGCTCTGTTATTGACCTTTGTAGTCAGCAGTGTTGTAAGTGCTTGGTGATCTGTTCGTAGGAGGAATTTTCTGCCCCAGAGCCATGTACGCCATTTTTCCGCAGCCCAGACGCAAGCTAGGGCTTCCTTTTCAACGACTGAGTATTTCCTCTCTGCATCAGACAAGCTGCGAGATGCAAATGCAACAGTTTGTTCTGCATCATTACCGTCAAGTTGAGTCAAAACAGCACCTACACCGTAGTCTGAGGCATCTGTCGAGACTATGGTTGGCTTACTGGGGTCGAACATTACCAGAGCAGGGCTGTGCACGATTAACTGCTTGACTTGATCAAATGCTGCTTGAGCTGCCTTGTTCCAGTGGAATGAACAGTCCTTACGCAGAAGAGCTCTCATAGGTTCGACAACAGTCACATAATTTGGTACGAACTTGCTGTACCATGCACTCAAGCCAAGAAACGAGCGCAGGGTTGCCGGATCAGTAGGGGGCGGAGCATGCAGGATAGCAGTGACATGAGAGTCATCTGGGAGGCAGACCTTCTGGACCGATCTTTTGACCCAGAAAGCTCAGAGTAGTTTGACGGAGTTGACATTTGTCAACATTGAGTTTCAGTCCTGCCTTGTTGATTCTGTGTAACACAGCACGCAGGTTGGCTTCATGTTCAGCTTCTGAAATTCCGTATATGATGACATCATCAAGATAGCATTGCACCCCTTTCTGGCCATATAGGATTTGCGTCATCGTCTTTTGGAACGCTGCCAGTGCTGAACTCAACCCGTAGGGGACTCTGCAGTACTGGTACAGTCCTTCATGTGTAATGAAAGCAGTGAGCCCTCTACTGTCTTCGTGTAGTTTCAGCTGATGGTAGGCGGATTTAAGATCCAGGGTAGAGAACATAACAGCCCCACGCAGCTCAGACAGTATTTCCTCTATCAGTGGCAAGGGATGGCTGTCAACGACCACCGCTTTGTTAGGTTCTCTCAAATCAACGCACATGCGTATGTCACCAGTTTTCCTTCTAGTGACTACAATCGGGGAGACCCATTCAGATGCAGCGATTTTTTCTATAACACCATGTTCCTCCAGATTCTTGAGTTCTGCGGAAACAGCATCCCGGACTGACAGGGGTAAGCGTCGGAGTTTCTGCTGTATTGGCTTCACTTCAGGTCGCACCTTCACTTTATGTACAAAGTCCTTTGCACATCCGAATGCAACTGTAGACTCACACTCCTGTTTGCAGTGAGTGGGCAGAGCAGAGGTTTGTTGAAGTGTAGCGCATACCTCGGAACTCTCAAGGACTAATCGTCCCCCTTTTATGTGTAGCTGGAGGGCCGTCACCAAGTCCATGCCCAGTATGGGTGTTCCTGTTCTCACAATGTAGAGGTCTGTGGGGGCACTCTTGCCATTGTAGGTAATGTCAGCTCTAAGACACCCTAATACATCCAGTTTCTCCTTTGAATATGTAATAAGCTGAACAGCTGGGTTACTTAACTTAACTGAGCCAAAATAGGTGCTGTAAACATGTTCAGGAAGTATGGAAACACCAGAACCCGTGTCTACTAGTAGCTTAACAGTACATGCCTGTGCAGTATTTGGTACTGTGACAACAACAGTGCACATCAATTTAGCTGGGTCACTACTGACACAATTGTCAACAGTTAGAACACACATTTCAGGCACAGTCACTTCATTAACAGGCTTATGAGGAGATTTACACACTCTAGAAAAATGTCCGATTTTCCCACATGTATTACATTTGCAGTCTTTTGCGGGGCAAGATTTATCATTGGCTTTGTGATCCGCTGAGCCACAACGGTAGCATGTCGGAGCTGTATCCGTTTTTTTAGCTGCTTTGTATTTTGGTTTGCGCATCTTCTTTTGAACTTGAACAGCGGCAACAGGCTTTGTTTCACCAACAGCAATGGCCTTTGCATCAGCTATTGCAGCCTCGGTGCGCCTAGCAATTTCCAAAGCTCGATCGAGCGTCAAATCCTCCTCCATTAGCAGTCTTTCACGTATACGAGCATTATTAGTCTTCTCTACAAGCTGATCCCGCAACATTTCATTCTCCATAGCCCCGAATGCACATTGTTTCACGAGCTCACGCAGTGCTGCAACGTAATGATCTGTAGACTCACCTACAGCTTGGGCTCGTTGCCTGAAACGGTATCTCTCGGCGACAACATTGACTTTAGGATGAAAGTATGTTTCCAAAGCCTTTACGGATCCCTCGTAATCATCCGTAGCGAGTGGTAAGGCGCTGTAGATTCGTTGTCCCTCCGTTCCCAAGCAGTGAATGAGCAGGGCCCTTTTCCTCTCCGTAGCAAAGTCATCACCCCCGATAGCAAGCAAGTAGTTGTCGAACAACCTTTTCCATGCAGCAAATGGAATTTTCGGTTCGCCCGGACAGTCCAGGAACACAGCCGGGGGTTGCAAAGAGAGCAGAGCCATAACTGAATCACCACTATTCTCGTCGCCACTTGTTGTGTGCCTCTAATCCAGCAAGCATTACACACACACGTAAGTAGGAACAGAGGACCGGAGATAACTCCCGCTTTATTTCTCTCTTCTTCACTTCTCTTTTTTTTACCACAACAACCACAACGTACTTACTAGCGCCCTCTAGCGCTTCTAGTAAATGCATCTACAGAACACATGCAACAGTATGTGGACACAACACCAGGTCACCGAGGTGAGTTTGGATCGCAGATGTTTAATGTCTTAGAAACAGTTGATCATTTCCGTTTGGCTTTATTTGGTGTAGAAGGTGTGGTTACATCAGCATAAACAGGCGGGTGTTGTTTTTACAGTTCAGCCTTGACTCTACAGCCTGAAGTGAATCTAGACTGAAGCAGTGTCACACCGGTTTTGATCACTCGGGAACACGTTTTGAGCACCTTGATGGTGACAATAAATATATTCACAAATACTGACTAGGTGATTAAAAAAACATGTTCAAATGTAGATACAGAAAGCCTTGAGGTTGTGTGTTCGTGTTCATTTACATGAAATGCTTGAGCAATTCGGAGTGAAGCATCAAGTTGAGACCAAGTCAGGCCTGATTCAGGAGGAGCTGCATCTTTCTCTGGAGATGCCTGAGATTAGTTCTCCTGCAGGCAGGAGTGTTTAACCTGCTGACAACCAGATAAGGACACAGGGCCAAAGAAATTAAGACACCAGCTCACAGATTCATCTGGTTCCAAGGTCAAAATATGCACACTAAAACCAAATAAAACACAAAAAAGAAAAATACATGATTTTTTTGATTTTTAAAACAAGGAAAACCATCAAGAGAAGGTTTTACATTTATCATACACCAACTTTAAGTCTGCAAAAAAAAGAAAAAAAGAAGCATAAGCTTATTTAGATTAGAAAAGAATTACACTTGATTATTCAAGTGTAAAACAAGACATACTATTCAAAGATTACATGGCAGAGATCCATGTTAGCACCTGAACTGAAGGTTTTTTGGTTTCCTCTCCGAGTTAGCTAGCTCTCTGTTGATGTTTTAGGAGATCTTGTTGTTCAGCTGTCCAGGATATTTCTCAAATCTCCTCTCTGCCTCCTCGCTGAGTGCATCACCTGCAGCACATCAAAACAAAGTGGTGTGAATTTTTTAAAAGATGGAACATCTTTTATTTAAAGACCAATTTAACTCTTTTTTTCAACGCACTTGCTGTGGGCTTTTGTATAAATTAATTCCCTGTAAGACAATCTCCGTGGGGGAAAAGCTCTCACGCTCCTGTATCAGGAGCTAGAACTTAGTAATTGGAGAAGGGAGCAGAAAACAACTGAATTTGGAGTCTTAATTCCTGGTATTCGGACATTTAGTCTCTGATGAGCTAACAGCAACGTGAATACCACTGACTTTGCTCTATAACGTTGATGTTTTATCTCCACAAATAACACAAGCCTGAAGGAGTTCTGCTGTGTTGTTTAGTTGCTAATGCTAACAGTTAGCTTCTACTAGTAGCTAAAAGCTGAGACGCAATCTGCTCTCATGGATGCTAAATCAGCAACAATTCAATTCAATTCAAAAATACTTTATTAATCCCAGAGGGAAATTGATTGCTGTAGTAGCTCAGAATAATAATAATAAGTTGTCAAAGAGTTATTGTATATTACAATGGCTGTTGGCAGGAAGGATCTCCAGTAGCGGTCAGTGTTGCAGCGAAACTGAAGAAGCCTCTGACTGAAGACACTCTTCTGTTGTCGGACAGTCTTGTGAAGAGAATGCTCAGGGTTGTCCATAATTTTCTTAATTCTCTGGAGAATCCTTCTTTGCATGATCTCCTCCAGTGGTTCCACAGTCGTCCCCAGAACAGAACCAGCCTTTTTATTAGGCTGTTGAGCCTTTTCAAGTCCCTGCTTCTGATGCTACTACCCCAACAGACGATGGCTGAAGAGATTACACTCTCAACAACAGACTTGTAGAAGATCTGCAGCATCTTGTTACAGACAGTGAAGGACCTAAGCATCCTCAAGAAGTGCAGTCTGCTCTGGCCCTTCTTGTAAACGACTTCGCTGTTCTTTCTCCAGTCCAGTCTTTGTATTCCTCAACCACCTCCACTTCTTCTCCCATGATGGAAACAGTGTTTGACTCCACCCTGTTTTTTCTGAAGCCTAAAATCATCTCCTTTGTTTTGATCATGTTCAAGGTCAGATGATATTTTTCACACTATGCCACAAAGTGCTCCACCAGCTCTCTGTACTCAGCTTCCTGTCCATCTCTGATACACCCGACAACTGCTGAGTCATCTGAGTATTTCTGTAGATGACAGGTCTCTGATTTGTACTGGAAGTCTGAGGTGTAGAGGGTGAAAAGGAATGGTGAGAGTACAGTCCCCTGTGGTGCTCCAATGTTACTGATCGCCTGGTTTGATGTGCAGTTCTACAGCCTCACAAACTGTGGTCTGTTTGTCAGGTAGTCTTTAATCCAGGCGATAGTTGGGGCCCCCACCTGTGTCTTCTGGAGTTTCTGGCAAAGTAAATCAGGCTGGATTGTGTTAAATGCACTGGAGAAATCAAAGAACATGACCCTCAAAGTGCTGCCTGCTTTGTCCAGATGACAGTGGATTGGTTGAAGCAGCTGATGATGGCATCTTCAACTCCAACTCCATGGTGATAAGCAAACTGCAGTGGGTCCTGATATGTTCTAGTTTGCTTATTCAGGTGGACCAACAGGAGTCTCTCCAGGACCTTCATGATGTGGGATGTCAGGGCAACCGGTCTGTAGTCCTCATTGACTGATGGGCGAGATTTATTTAGAACTGGAACAAGGCAGGATGTCTTCCACAGGACTGGAACCTTCTCCTGGGCCAGGCTGAGGTTGAAGAGGTGCTGCAGAATCCCACAGCGCTGCTCTGCACAGGCCTTCAGTACTCTGGGGCTGACACCATCTGGACCTGCAGCCTTGTTCCTATTCAGTCTCTCCAGCTACCTCTTCACCTGACTTCTGGAGACAGATAGGTGGGAAGGGGAGGTAAATGGGGCAGCAGCATCTCCTGACTTGGTTGAAGACAGATTTATAGAACCAGAAGAGTCCATGACTGCGTTAGAGGACAAAAGAGCTGGCGTGTGACAGGAAAATGTTGGATCAGAGGAGGATGGGATGTCTGATTGGTTGGGGACAGGCGAGGAGGATGCAGGGTTTGTTCCTGAACTGAACCTATTGAAGAACTTGTTCAGTTCATTGGCTGTGTCCAGGCTGCCATCTGTGCAATCCTTCCTCTGCTTGAAGCCTGTGATCTTCTTCATCCCTGACCAGACATCTCTGATATTGTTCCTCTGTAGTTTGTTCTCCAGCTTCTTCCTGTATGCCTCCTTGCTGTCTCTGATATTGATCTTCAGTTGCTTCTGTATACTCCTCAATAATTTGCTGTCTCCCTCCTTGAAGGCTCTTTTTTTTTCTCATTTAGCAGATTCTTCAGTTCACTGGTGATCCAGGGTTTGTTATTAGCGAAGCATCTCACTGTTCTGGTGGGTATGATATTGTCCACACAGAAGTTTATTTAGTCAGTGACACATCCAGTAATGGCATTGATGTCCTCTTCATATCCTTGGCAGAGAGTCATCCAATCTGTGGTCTCAAAACAACTCTGCAGGACTTCTCCAGTGTCCTGTGACCATTTTCTCACAGTTGTTCTTGTCACAGGTTGCCTCTGAACAAGTGGTTTGTATTCTGAGCAGAGAAAAACAAGATTGTGAACTGATTGTCCCAGAGGAGGTCTTGTTTTGGACATGTATGCATTCTTTACATTTGCATAACACAAACCCAATGTCTTGTTTTCCCTGGTGGAGCAGCTGACAAACTGTTGAAATGTTGGAAGTGTAGCAGAGAGCGAGGCATGATTAAAATTACCAGATATAGCCACAAATGCATTGGGGTGCTGGGTTTGTAGCTTAGCGACAACAGAACTGATGGCATCACATGCATTTTCAGCAATGGCTGTCACAATCTGCCCCGCTCACTAATCTGCTCTGCTAATGCACAACAGTTGTTCCCAGTTTGTGTTTCAGGTGGGCGTGTCAGAGCCAGCTGCTCCTGATCTCCTGATCAGAGGACCAGGGGTACTTAAGGAGCGGTGTGAAACAACTCCAGTGCTGGTCGATACTCGCCTTTGGGTAACACTAGTTCTGTCTTGAGTTTAAAGCCTCAAATACTCAGCATGTGTTTTTGTCAGTCCGTTCCCGTCAGCCCTGGTCTTGTGTTTTGAACTTCTGCTCATCTTCCACTCAGGATTACTCACCGCTGTCTGGAGTTGTTAATTCCACTACACGTCGCTCACCGTCCCCTGGTCTCCTCGCTCTCTGCCGCTCGCCTGTCATCCTTCCTGCCTGCCTACCAATCTTCCCCTCCGGATCTACAGCATTACCTGCCTTCCTGTCTGCCACATGCCCGTTTACGTATCTCTGTTTGGATCCTCAGCCTTGTCTCTGTCGCCGATTGACTTCACCATCCAGCCCCAGTCTCTCTAAGGATTTTAACCTGCCCAGTAAGATAAAATCTCCTAAAGCCATTCCTATTTGATTCTCTGGTTCCAGGGTTTTGTTTACTGTGAGTTTAATCCCATTTGTTTTCTCATCCTAGATCGCGGCTTTTCCCTGTTCTCGTTTGGAGCAGCGCTTTTAGTTCATCACGTTCCTTAATAAATATTAGTTGTTATTTACTCACCCCCGTGTCCTCTTGTGATTCTTTCATGTCCTGGGTTAAATATATACCCAACATGACAATGGCTGATGGTGGAATATAAACGGTTGCCAAGACAACACTGGTTAACTCTCTTGGCAAATAATATGGGCGACAACTTACTGCCAAGAGTTCAACATCTGGGCTGCAGAGACGACATTTCACTGAAACATGACCTGGATGGCACCATCTGTTCTTGACAAGCACTGCCACTCCGCCTCCTTTTCTTTTCCCACTCCTCTTCAGATCTCTGTCTGCTCATACAGTCAGGAATCCGGGCAGAGAGACGCTGGAATCGGGGATATGGTCCTGCAGCCACGTCTCAGTAAAACACATAACACTGCACTGCCGATACTCTGGCTGAGTCCTTGATAGGGCTTGGAGTTCATCCATCTTGTTGGCCAGTGATCTCACATTGCCCATTATGATCGATGGAAGAGATGGTTTGTACTTCCTCTTTCTCTGTCTCCATTTTGCTCCCGCTCTGCATCCATGCTTCTTGCGTTTTAGCTCATTTGGGATTTGTGGCTTCAGTTGAGGTATTATTTCAGCCTTTCCAATGTTAATCAGCTGCTCCTGATTGTAAACCAGCTTGTTGCCATGGTTACACATCATGACAAATGCTCAAAAAGTGAAAAAAGTGATAAAATAGCAGTAAAAATCCTCTTAGCTCCACAGCACCAGAAACAGAAAGGTAAAATGTCCAAAAAATACAGTTTTTCTTAAGATGCTAGAAGAAAAAATGTCCAAAAAAGGCTAAACTTACATGTGGTTAACAGAGCTACTCCAACATGCAGCCACCCAGAGCAGCACGAGAATTGGAATCGGCATTCCCCGTCACGAGCCAAGATGGTTAAAGTGTGTAAACGCATTCCACTCTTTAGCGCCACACAGTTCAGAGTAGGTAATGTATCTACAGTAGCCCACACACATCAAAAACACATGCAGCTTTCAACGCCTGTATTTTTTATTTACGGTTTCTGCTGATTCCTGCAGGCAGCATCTCTCTCTGGGGTTGGAGAGCCTTCTGTTTGTGTCCTGTGAATATATGAAGAACGGGTTCTGCCGCTCCTAACACGTCTACCTCATCTGTAGATTCTGGCGCTTCACTCGTCTTCCCCTCCCCCGCGGCCGTGCATGCACCGCCAGTTATACATGGCTTCCAGCTTTCAATCCAGTGACCACATGAAGTTAGAGCAGGAAAAGCAACCCAATGTATTTGTTTATTCTTTATTTAACCAGGAAGGTCCCGTCAAGATTAAAAACCTAATTCCAAGGAAGTCCTGGCCAAGAGGCAGCAAAAGATAAAGTCACAAAATTTCTTAGTAACACAATTAGTTATGTACAAAATTATAGAATTACACAGGGAATTGATCTCAAGTTTTCGCAGTTT